AACCGAGTTATGCATGGGAGTATTTTTTAGATTTTAGCAGATGCATTTATCATATAGTTTTTTAGTAATCAAATATAATCAAATATGATACATGTATCCAAAGATAGACATTTTTGAGTATCCTTTGTAAAAGTCATATGTTGTGTTAAGAAATACTTGTACTTTGTTTCATTGAAATTCAACGTACATCCTTTAAATTAAATATATTTAATATATGTTTCTAAAGACAAAGTATATTTTTTTTAGGTTTATGTAAAATATTAAAAATACATCAATTAATGTTTTTTATCGAAATTCAACGCATATTCGTTTATTTTTAGGCAACGCTGTGGGCTATGTGCGCCTCCTGCAGGCAGGAAGCAAGAATGCCAACTTCAGGAGCCGTTCGTACAAGACCAGATTTGACAGCAGCTTCAGTTCCGGAGGATCTAAGCTGCACGAGGCCACCGAGGGCTCCATCAGGGAGTACGAAAAGAGCCTGGGTCACATGAAGGAATGCTACTCGGATAGCACAAATTACTTTAAGGTATGTAAAGGGATTCGTTGGCCAATTATATGCTGTTTGCTAACAATAGGTACTTCTTGTTTCAGCTCCTCTTGCAAGGATTCCAGCCTTTCCTGTGCAATCCGCATAACCATCACCTTAGGACCTTCTACCTCATCACACCGGCGCTCATCATGAACTACATTGACTACCGGGTCAAGCAGAAGCTGAAGATCCACAAAAAGGACCTGGCCAAGATCTCGCTCTTCGAGGACGGCTTCGCCATTGGCCTGGTCTACATCCTGAACATGCTGAACCAGCAGACCGAGTTCCATGAGCTAGGTTGGAGCCAAACGACCACGCAGCACCTGAACGCGGAGCGCTCCAAGGTGCGCGACATCCTGGCGCGCCAGCAGTCGGCGGCGGAGGAGCAGCTGGACGAGAAGCTGCTGCAGACGCTGGCGATAACCGAACGACATGTTAATGCCTATGAACATGAATACAATCTACTGTATGCCACCCTAAGTAGCTCCGAGATATTCTTCCAATAAAAACCACTGTTTACCCAAGCCAAAACACTCTAGAATCAGTAGTTGGGTGTCGTTTATTTACTTTTATTAAGACGAAAATACAATTCCGATTGCGGAAAACATCTTAGAACGTTGGAATATATGTGGATAATTAGCTTTAGAGCTGTAGGCCAATTTTAAACGTTAAACATTTTGCTAATGTCTCGTTCGTCTCTTTTTTTTATTTTACTATGGAAATGCGAAAGGTTACAGGTTTGAAGTATTTATTTAGCCTGATTTAAGAACTTCACTATCCAATTAATTAAACACTGCAACTGACAAAAAGGAGGCTCTATTTTTTATATACTGAATTTTGGCCCCCATATACAATTTTTAATTGGCCAAAAAAACCCAATGGGAATATTTAAACATGTCTATTGAAAATATTGTTGTATTGTATTTCGTAATATTACAGTAATATGTAAAAAAAAAATGTTTTGGAGAAAATGCAAATGGTTTTCGTCTTAACAGATTTTTCTTCTTGTAATCTTGCGTTTTATTGTTTAGCGCAATCTTAAAGAGAACCAGAGTTAGCAACCATGATCTTCTTGGAGGTCTTGCCGGACTGGGAACCATAAGATTCGATCTTTTTCACCACATCCAGACCCTCGACCACCTCGCCAAAGACGACGTGCTTGTTGTCCAACCAGGCGGTCTTCACGGTGCAAATGAAGAACTGGGATCCGTTCGTGTTGGCGCCAGCGTTGGCCATCGACAGGATGCCGGAGCCGGTGTGCTTCAGCTGGAAGTTCTCGTCGGGGAACTTGTTGCCGTAGATCGACTTGCCGCCAGTGCCGTTGTGGTTGGTGAAATCGCCGCCCTGGCACATGAAGTTGGGGATGACGCGGTGGAAAATGGAGCCCTTGTAGCCGAATCCCTTCTCGCCGGTGCACAAGGCGCGGAAGTTCTCGGCGGTCTTGGGCACAACATCGGAGCGCAGCTGGAAGATACAATGCGGGGGAATCTCTATTAGTAAACAGGGAAATCATATACGATGTACACATATTTGTGATGACAACATTCGGGATATCATATTTCATAACAATTTTTGTTTGCTTAAATCCCTAAAAGACCCCAGTTTCTTCAAGGTTACTTTTTGAAGAAGGGTTTCCTAAAAAAAACTTATTATTATTTATGCATGATGATTTTTTTTCCCCCTTTAAAAACTGAATCATCACGAAGTTGGACGACCTTGAGACTATTTACATTTTTTTGAGGACTTCAGCATTTTTGGCGCAATCTCAGCTGTTAATAATGGCGCGTCTTCTGGATTTTTTTGCCGCCATCTTTGAACCCCTGATAAAAACCACATTTTTGGAAGGTAGTTCCAAAGAATGTAAAAAATATAACCCTTTTAGTACAGCTGCTATACTCTTTTTCCCCTTTGTATATTATCTATAGCTAAAAAATATATGCACAAACATTTCCAGCACATTCGAATGCACTGGAATTCGTTTAAAAGGCAGATAAACAGTTTTTCTAATAAACAAGACCTACAAACATGTAAAGTCAATTGTTTAATTTAGTTAAGTTTAGCATTTTCTTTTTTTTTTCTGAAGCCTTTGGGCGGAAATGCCTACAGTGGAAGAAAAAAAAAAATAGGTACAAATCTGGAAATTTGAGCACACAATGTAGACTTTCTGCCCACCGTATGATGTACATATGTTTGTGCGTATGTATATCCTATTGGAAAGTCCTAGACATGTGGGCAATGACTTTGCCCGGTCACCAAAAATACAGCCAGATGCAATATCAACTTTTTTTTGTCTGGTTTTATGAATCAAATGGACATTACATCATCAACGGAATTAATAGTGAGTTCATTTTTGCAAACGGGTTTACAGAACTCGCGCATTCACACCCGAATATCTCTGTGTGTACACTGTACATACGCGTACAAACATACGTGAGTGACCGCTTGGAGGTTATGTTCCTGTATTGATCTGCGTGTGTGTATGGGGGGCTGCTATACACGCATACACGAGTGGAATAATTTATATATATACCAGCTCTGACATATATATACATACTTATAAATACCGGTAAAAATTGCACACCATTGCCGCAAAAGTTTGCCGACACGCCAATTAAATTAAGGAAAATTCCGTTCTATAAAGATAATACTTTTAATCGCTTGCGGTCACCCCCCCCCGCGAGGGGGTTAAAATTCCATGATATAGAGATAATTATGGGGAATTTCATTGTAAACGTTTGTTCTTCAGGCCAATTAGAATTTTAAAATGTACAGGGACCGCATTGTCATGCAATTACTTAGGCATGATTGGACAAATACGGGAAATAATTACACACTAGCTGCGAGTAATGGAGCTATTTTTCCCACAGTATACACATATACATATATATTTTAGGTACTTAAGTAGATCAAAAAAAAAAAAAAAAGTATGTACTTGTCACTTGCGGCATTTCGTGGTAAATATGTACATAGGCATTTCCATAAATTAAAGCAGTTATTGCGCGAAACAAGAGGCTTTTGAAAAAAATCACGTGTTTTCACTTTGTTCACAAATATTGTTTAAATAAAAAAAAAGGAAATTATTTAAACTATTTAAACTCACCTCCATTGTGATCCTACCGAGGGGCTCGCCATCGGCGGTCATATCGAAAAATACCCTAGGCAAAGTACTCATCTTCGACGCTTTCGAATATTCACGAACAATCTGAATTCCAAATTGCAACTGACCCCTATTCGCACTGCACGCTGACGAAGCTAGGGTTATAGATTTCTTAGTTAAAATGGCGGACTCTGCAATGTGAAATGCCGCTGCCGACTTATACCGAAACTGTCGAATCAGAGTTGCACCGAAAGAGACCATCGTGTATGGAGGCCGACCGCATGTACGATACTACGATACCGCATACACGATGTCTGCCGGCGTTCCATTCCGCCTGTTTCGTTTCCCGGTGTAGCTGTTACATCACTTTAGGGCACCTATGAACGCACTTTTTTGGCTCGGCCTATTCCATTTCATTCCGCTCTTAACCGAACAGCTGATCATGTATCACTCAATGGTGATCAGAATTCGTGATCACTTATCAAGAAAGGGAAGAGTTTTGAATTTTCGATAAAAATATCGATATATCATTGAGAAAAAATTACACAAATAGAGAGCACACTATCGGAATTATAACTATCTTTAGGATATTAATAATTGTCAAAGTATATTACTGTAAGCAAGCCTTGTAAAACAGATTAATGATAGTTTATACCTTTTTTAACGAGATCGAGAGACAGTGTTTATACACTCTGGTTCACTTATCCTAGTATATCGATTGTTTTGCCGGTCACAACATCTGTTATTCTTATTTAAAATTGTATTTGACATAAGTAACTTTTGAAACTTACTTTTTTTCAAATAAAAACTAAGCTCTGCCAATACTTAGAAATACGTTCATTTTTATTTGCAAAAAAATCCGTTTTATTTTAAATGGGGAACGATTGGAATTAAAAATTGCATGTTTTTACGTCCGAAAAAGTTGGCAACTGGTTACAACTCTATGAAAATTAAACAGAAACCCTCATTTCCTAAAATGTTCCGATATATTTTTAAAAATTCAACAGTTTAGGGAATACCCAGAACTTTATTTATGTGGGCTAAATTTCAGCTGTATATCGAAACTATTGCCATATACATCATATATAAAAACCGCTGATAATTTAGAGAACTGCCAACCTCTCCAAAAATTGTGGAAAACAAAATGTTTAAATTTTAAGTGATTTCGCGCGCTATTCAAGAGATGTATTTTATAGTCCGCTCATTTTTGGTACATTTGCTGATAACAAACTTAACTTCTCAATGCAAATTTTCAGAACTTCATACCCTCTTCGACCCGAAGTTTTCATGAATATTACCAAATATTTTTATTTTTAAAGATATCACTTTATTTTTACAGTAATGATACGTATATTCATTTACAAAACATTTTCATTTTCCTTTTTCATATACATATATTGTAGTGTATTTCTTTTCCCAAACCCCCGTACCTTATCCACTATAAAATAGCGAGATTACCATAAACTGACCTCAATGAAATACAAGATTTGATACAAACTTAACTCGAATCATAGAAAGCCCCCTTGATAGATGATTAAATTTAAAAATAAAGCATTTGGGATGAACGCATGACATTGTAGCATTGTAGATTGGCCATTAATTACATATATTATATTGAAGGCAAAACCAAAAATCATTCTTACATACATGGGTACTTTGGCATGCGCAAACCCGAAAGCGATTGAACTCTGGATACATTGGATTGGCAAAGCAAGGCGAAAGCTAAAAACAGTGATTATCATCGTGCTTTTTGATTAAGCTGAAGCATTAAAATAGTATAACAGATTCGATTGGATTCGAGTTTAAACTTTCGGTCTTAAAACTAGGGAGATTTTCGAAAACAAAATCGCAAAATAAGCAAATAGAAAGCGAGATGAGGGAGAACATTATGGGTCATTTGCGGAAATGCCCGACTGGCTGCTGCGGCGGCAGCGGCGGCGACCAGGGGGGATCTCTGATGGTCCCGGCATAATGTTTGGTTCCTGATAAAGTTGAACATGGACTCGACGAGATTTGCCGGCGTGATATCCGAACACGTTTCCAATTTGCTGACCACGCAGGCCTGCAGGTTCTGCATCTCGTCGCATTGCTTTTCACCGACCGTCAGCTTGGGTATCGTCTTGATGCGATTGTCCTGCGGATCCTGCAGATTGAGATATTCGGCGAAGGTGTTGTTCACGCACTGCTGGATGTTCTCCTTCTGGGACTCAATGCACTCGGGACCCTTTTCGGCAATGAATAGGGCTATCTGATCGCCATCCTTGTGACAGACGAAATTGAGCAGGCTCTGGATGATCTGTTTGATCACATCCTGACCCTCACGCTCCTCGGTCGACAAACAGGGCACCAGTTGGGTGGTGAATGTGTCCACACATTGCACCGCATTGGAGCGCCTGCTGCAATACTTGTTGAAGACCACATCCAGTTCGCCCTTGGGACTGGCCTCCTGGATCTCCTCCTGCATGGCGGTATAGTTGACAATGCCGTTCAGGCATTCGGTGAGGACCACGAATCCCGATTCGATCTCACCGTACGCCTGGCCACCAGCCGTCTCGCCGGCCACCTCGATGCATTTGTTGCGAAACAGCTCCTTGGCATCGTTTAAGCTAAAGTTCGACTTGGTTATTTGGTCGGGTAGTTGCGTCTGGATTTGATCCAGATCCAGTTGGGCATGTATGCCCTGTATGGTTAGGATAGCTATACCTATCACACCGATTGTCTGGCTCCAAAATGTCCTGTTCATTTTGTGTATTGCTTTTTTTGTTGCCGTTTTTTTACCCTTTCTTTTCTGTTCCCTTTTTCCTTTTCCCTTTTGTTCTCCTTGTAAGGTCGACCGCCGACGAATGAAAGCTTTGCACTGGAAACTATTAATTAAATTAGGAAATTTCTAAATTTCTATCCCACCCGTCGGCAAGTGATGGTTAATCGGCGGTGACACCATCGATAGTCGATAGCCAGAAGCCTATCGGCTTGGTTGGTCCACATCCGCAATCGACAATCGACTGCGACTTAATGCGCTCTTATCAAAAACACATTTTAAAATTATTACAGTTATGTTAAGTATGGCTTGTTAAAGACAATTTATTTCACCGCTCAAATTTCAGTTAACACTGCATACATACATGTTTTAAAATTATATATAAGAAAAACCGTAAAATTTACATATGTATGTACCGTTTTAAATGTTTATAAATAATTATATTATTTAATTATTTTAATAAGCAAAGCTTAGACTATCGATTTTCCATCCGATAACATTGACTTACAATTTTAGTTTGCCCTTTATAAATATACAAAATATATAAAGCCAAAACTGTTAACCATACATATGTATACATTTATGAACTCAATAACTGTTTATGATCAATATATTAATAATTTATTTTAATAAGCTAGGCTTAGACTATCGATTTGCCTACGATAACATTGATCGATTGGTGGTTCAAATGAACCAGTTCATAAAGAATTAATTTCGCCAGTCTTTGTTTATGTTTACATTCAAAAAGACCTGCGCAAACTCAGCATATATTAAAGCGAGTCTAGGCCACCGAAATATGTGGAATATCATATGTGCAATATCATAGTCCGGAGAAAGCAAGGATGCGGATATGGCCTCTGAAGAAAGTACGCAAGTGGACGCCCTGATGATGGAGCCGATCTCCAAGTTGAGTATGCTGCTCACTGGGTTCTCAATTTTCTGGAGATTCGTATCCATCTTCATCAATTGGAGCTTGGCCTACGAGTATTGGATGGAGGAGGCCTACGGCTATTGCGGGTGGACAGTGGCCTCTATTTTGGTGCCCATGACGGTCACATCGGTTATATATATACACACGTAAGTACTCAAATATTTCCCAAAGGACTGAAGCTAATATAACGATTGATTTCAGCTTGAAAGCCGGTCATTCGGGGGAAAAACGCATCCTGGAAAGGGGAGTGTACTCAAACATTGTGATCTCGTACCTTTTTCGCGATGTCTACGCTCTAAACTATGCTCTTAAGTATACGGAGGCAAAAAGGCGGGAAGATCAGCAGGAGGAGATCCGGTGAGTCAGCTGATCTCGTCGACCTTTTTATTCCATATTAAGCCGGGGTCGTATTGGAATTTTCAATGGAAAATAGTTCTATTGTCCGGAGTTTTTTTTTTCCTATGGTCTTTTATTTTTTAACGATTTTCTTAATTTGTATTTTTTAGATATTATCAAAAACTTACGACGGAAGAGTGCAATGTCAGCTTTGTGCGGCTTTTCGATTCATTTTTGGAATCCGCACCGCAGAAAATACTACAGCTCGTTATAGTTTTGCGATCGATCAAGGACTTTACATGTAAATGGGTGATATTTGTATTTATATTTTGATATTCATATATGTTTGATATCCCCCGACACCAAAACTTTATACTCGAATTTACAAATTTCCTGTATAATCTTGTTTCCTGTTACACTTTCGAAAGGTAACTTGTTAATTATTTAGCCAAGCATTACAAATCCGGGAATAGTGAAACTCAGAAGAGGTATGTAGGCAAATCCAAATAATAATTTAATTATTTTTCAGACTATCGCCTGATTGCGTTCGTCGTCTACTTTGGAAACATAGCGTGGTGCATCCAGGCGTACAACCACTCCAATCGCCTGGTGCAGTTGGACAAACATGATATTGCGGCAAAGGGAAGGTCCCTGCAATTTCTCTTCCTCCTCTGTCTAACTGGTTAGTAGTCACCCAGGCTAAACCAAATATATAGTAGTCTGCTTGTATTATTTTGTAGTTTCGAGAACGCTTTGCATTGCATATGTGGCCAGTCTCTTTCCCATCGAAACACTGATCATCTGTGCGGCGCACGCCTGCTTTTGTGGCACGATTGTATTTTTTGTGGACTCCCCCATGATCGCCGAATCCCGCTTTATGAACTACCTGTACTGCCTTTGCTTTGGCGTAGTGTACTTGTTTATTTTCACACCCGTTAAGGATGCACCAACCAAGTATAAATACGTATTCTACCTATCATTCTGCCTATTGCAAAACACACTCGCCTGCGCCCTGTATATTCCCCTATATCTTTGCATTGCCATTATTGCCTTGTACGTGATCGGAATTATGCTCATAGTATTCTACTACACCAACTGCCATCCCAATACCATACCAACTTATTTTTGAAGTAGTGTAATCTCTTGATAATAAATGTTTTTTTGATACTTTTTGATATTACTGATTTTATTTGGGGCTTAAGTGATGAAAAGGTGGGGTGGCGTTAGTTATTTTTCATGATATTTTGTTATATTACATACAATTTAAAAAGGATTTATGGAAATTATTGATTTAAACTTGATTTTACTTTTCCTATCGATAGTATTTCAATGCCAGTAATTCGATATACCTTGAAAATAGTACATTTTTAATTTTCTTGAGTAAGTTATTACTTAAAAGGAACAGATTAAAAATAAAATAAAAGTTTCCTACAATCTTAGTGTTATACCAAAGTTAAAAACACGCATTTTCCTTAAATGTAATTTAATTTTCTTTGGAAACGCTTAATAAATATTTATTTATTTAATTTCTCAGGTTTCCTAATTTCAGTGACTTTCATGTGAACCAAAATAAATAATAATAACACATAATTGATGTATCGCTGAGCTGAATTCAATTGCGCATGCGCAACGACCCAATTTGGAACTAGTACCATTCGGAATCGGTCTCTGAGAGGGAATTCCGTTTGGGGGCCCAATTAAAACGGTTCCCCCAGATGAACCGAACCGAACCGGTTCGGACTCGAAGCTAGACTTAGCCCAGCTAGTTGGCATTGTATATTTCATGCAGCTCGTTAACTTTCACTTCGGTTACAAGGGGCGGAGACAAAGGCAAATCGCAATACGATTTCAAGAAAAGATCAGGATCGGGACTAGGATCTCAAGAGCGGTACTCGGCAACGGAATCGAGATTGGGATCGGAATCGGGAGTGATGTGAATACGATACATACGCCAAGATAATGGCATCCAAATACGAGCGCATACTGAGCGATTGCAGGGCGAAGAACGTGCTGTGGGAAGACCCCGATTTCCCCGCGGTTCAGTCGTCCGTCTTCTATTACCAAACGCCTCCGTTCACCTTCCAATGGAAACGTATCATGGATCTGGCGGACAATGGCTCGGGAACTGTATCCGGATCGGGATCGGTACCTGTATCTCCACCGGTGTTCCTCAACGAGACGGCCGAATTCGATGTGGTGCCTGGTAAAATGGGTGATCGCTGGCTGGTCTCCTGCCTGGGGCTGCTGAGCTCCCTGAGGAATCTCTTCTACCGGGTAGTGCCCGCCGATCAGACCCTGACCAGTGCCCACGGGGTCTTCCGCTTCCGGTTGTGGTGGTGCGGCGAGTGGGTGGAGGTCCTGGTCGACGATCGACTGCCCACCATCAATGGTCGCCTGGCCTTCATGCAGCCACAGGCCTCGAATTGCTTCTGGGCCGCCCTGTTGGAGAAGGCCATTGCCAAATTGCACGGCTCCTACGAGGCCCTCAAGTACGGCACCCGTTCGGATGGACTCACCGATCTCCTCGGCGGCGTTGTCCGGCAAATGCCCATCCTGGCGGACACCATCCGGCCGCAGACTCTGAAGGAACTGCTGACCACCACCTGCATCGTCACCTGTCTGGCGGACAAGAGCGCCTCCGTGGCCAAGAAGAATCTCGCCGAGCGCATGCCCAACGGGATACTGGTGAACGTTAACTACAGGTGTGTATGTAACTATATAGAGCTAGGGGTTCCTTTCCTAACGGCAAGTGACCCTATACCAGTTTCAGTTTCTTATAAATCTCTTCCAATCAAGTTCCTTTTAAAGAGGTTTCTTAATAGTTATACATAGTATATCTGATTCGTTGTAATCTGCATTGGTTCACTTATTATTATTTTTTGTAAGATAGAACATTTTTAGTATGAGTTCCTTTTTTAACGATCCAATATCATGTTCAGTTTCTTATAAATCTATTCCAATCAAATTCTTTTTAAAAAGGGTTTCTTAATAGTATATTTATTCATACTCGTAATATATCTGATTCTAGGTAATTTGCATAGTTTGTTCCTTTCTTAACGACTGGTAACCCAATATCATCTTCAGTTTCTTATAAATATGTGCTAATTAATGAGGTTTCTTGATATTCATACATAATATATCTGATTCCTTGTGATTTTTAAGATTGGTTCACTAGATATCTATCTTTTTTATAAGTACTCTTATGAGTATACTTAGGTATTGATGGACCAAAACGAGCACTTAACAAATCGAATACAACATATGATAGAAAGTGTTTCGAAAAGTGTGGCCTAAAAATTAGCATTTATAAATGGAAAAGTTTTTCCACTACTGTAGGAAACAGAACAAAATCTTATCCAAAATATATTAATTAATGCATTTTAAAATAGGGTAAAGGGCGATTCCTAAAGTATGCTCCCTAAACTAGCATACATAAATAGAATCATTATCATATAAATGGGATCATCCCAAAGCTATAAAAAGAACTCCCGTAAAAAGTGGGAGAGTGATCTTTAATGAACTGATAGATTTAAGAAAACGACTACATTTTCTGAAAAGAACTTGATTTTTATGTGAATGTATATAATTATGAATTCAAGTTTAAATGTTTAAAAAACTATCCAAGTAATATCTATAAACCTACCTAAAAACACTGTTAAATTTGATATTATACTTATACTTGCAGACTCTCCAGCCTGGACAAGGTAAAGACCCTGATGGGCGACTCGGTGCAACTGGTGTGCCTAAAAGACACGTTCTCGAGCAAGCCGTTTGGCGAGAAGACGCACTTCCTCGGCGACTGGGCGCCATCATCCAAGACATGGGAGCGGGTCTCGCAGGTGGAGCGGGCGCGCCTCATCCGCCAGCTGGGTCCCGGCGAGTTCTGGCTATCGTTCTGCGACTTTGTGGAGATCTTCACCATCATGGAGGTGGTGTACCTGGACACGGAAACCTCAAATGACGAGGAGATGCTCAAGAGTCGTCCGCTGCACTGGAAGATGAAGATGCACCAGGGTCAATGGAAGCGAGGCGTCACCGCCGGTGGTTGTCGCAACCATGAGTCCTTCCACATCAATCCCCAGCTGCTGATTTCGGTGCAGGATCAACAGGATCTGGTGGTGGCTCTCAATCAACACACAGCCGTGGAACCCAAGGTCATTGGTTTTACCATGTACACGTGGGATGGCGACTATATGCTCAGCGAGTGCCTGCAAAAGGACTTCTTCAAGAACCACGTGAGCTTCCTGAACTCGGACTATGGGAACACGCGGCACGTTAGCTATCACACGCATCTGGAGGCGGGTCACTATGTGCTTATACCCACCACCTATGAGCCGGCAGAGGAGGCCCATTTCACGGTCCGCATCCTGGGCACCGGCTCCTTTCGGCTCTCCTGCCTGGAGACACAGACCATGATCTTGCTCGATCCATTCCCGGCGCTCAAGAGTTCGGATACCTCGGATCGAGGCTCTGGTGGGGGGCAGAAGGTGAAGAGCGTGTGCCAGTATGAGCCCGTCTACATGCAGCTGGCCGATGAGAATAAGACCATCAACTGCTTCGAGCTCCATGAACTCCTAGAGGCCTGTCTGCCCAATGACTACATCAAGGGTTGCGCCAACATCGACATTTGCCGGCAGGTGATCGCCTTGCAGGACAGGAGCGGCAGTGGCAGGATCACCTTCCAGCAGTTCAAGACCTTCATGGTCAATTTAAAGTCCTGGCAGGGCGTCTTCAAGATGTACACCAAGGAGAAGGCGGGCATCCTGCGGGCGGAGCGTCTGCGCGATGCCCTCTGCGACATTGGCTTTCAGCTGAGCACCGACATCATGAACTGCCTGATCCAGCGATATATCCGTAAGGACGGGACCCTCCGGCTCAGCGACTTCGTTTCCGCCGTCATCCACCTGACCACCGCCTTCAATCAGTTCCACCTGAAGAACTACAGCCAGGTGAATGTGATCGAGGTCCACCTGCACGACTGGATAAAGAGCATACTGAGCTGCTGAACTTATGGAATCCCTCTTGATTAATCTTTTTTTTTGGAAATCTCTAGATTTCTTTTGTTTTAAATAAGGATGCTACAAGGATCGATCGCCAGTTTCGCTTGATTTCTATTTATATGGTTTCCTTCTCTCCAATGCAATATATCTTTAATCTCTCATTTCTTTTGTAATCCTAATCTTAAGATTTCCTGGTTTAGCCCTAGCTAACCCTTCCTAAAACCATATCCAAAACTGGCCTTATACTAGTTTTAAATCAAATCATTTTTCATATGAGCGAGATCGGTAATGCGGTTGCAGGTTTATGTATGTACTACTGAGAATTTTATTTATTGTTCTTATGGCTACAATTAAACGAGCGCTGAAGGCGAGACGTGTTCAGAGTATTTTCAAAATCTATGCATGTTTATTAAATCCCTCCCCAGAACTGGGGAGGAAGGACTCCCACGGGTATAGTAGGTCTATATCCCATATGCAGATACAATAGTTGGCCTTTTCGATCAGCGAAATCGAATCGAATTGCGCGATTAGTTAGATTATCTGACGTATAGTTAAGGTATTTATATATATAAAAGGAGTGTGTAGGTCTGTGTACAAGCAATTGAGAGCGATGCGAGTATTATGTGTGCATTATAGTACACCAGCGGATATAATCCATAGTAGGCTTAAAAAGTAATTGCATGTGCATGTGGGTCTCTATAGTGAAATTGGTAACGATTACAGATGCAGTAACTCTGGTTCCCGCTTTAAATTCCGATGTATCGTAGTTATATCATATCATATTCCGATAAGATATACGAATTCCTAATTGTTCCATGGACTTACTGCTCTTGTGACCCGCGAAAACAACCCACACTTGTGCATCACCTCTTAAAATAGTCTAGAATATCAGCGTGTGTAATCACTACCATCTGTAGTTTGTGTTGGACGACGTGATCGGGTAGATCCCCTCTGCTCCGATCCCCGTAATCCTAATCCAATTGAAATGTACAAAACGCAACTCAAGGGTTCCCCAATGGACGTAACATTTACATGGATGTACCATTTTGGGAGGAGGCATCGCTGATGCGGCGGGACAGCGTCGTCTTGCGGCTAATGGACTTGGAGTTGCCGATCTGGTTGGAGTTGTAGTTGGAGCTCGATCCGCCGCTGGTTGGGGTGTCATTCGATGAGTCAGTGGTCCGCAGTGCAGACCGCTTCAGGGAGCCGGTGACCTCGTGGGGCTCCTGGTATCCCGAGTCCATGTCATCGTGGTAGGAGTCCATCAACGGCGTGGGATCCTCGTAGTCGTAGTCAACGAAGCCATTGTTGTCAAAGGACTGGAAATAATACAACATGCTTAGATTTAGTTTAGAGAACAAAAGTATTATTTCAAAATTCTTCTAAACTAATTTTTGAAGCCGTAGTGGTTCACCATGAATACGATAATTTATAGATATAAAAAAAACAGTAATGTTTCCAGAATATCCTTCAAAACTAGAAAAATCCTTTAAGATCTTAACTATTATTTCAAATTTTCAACAATTTTGGGGTTTCAATTAGCATCTTAAAGCTATGGACTTTTTTGTTTTATAACCATTAAGTATTATTGTGAAAAAATGCCATTGTATTGTATCTTGCAATACCCAATACATATTATATAATATATTAATTTCAAAAACAGTATTTCGATTCTAAAAACTTGTAATACTGATATTAATCGATATTATGTTGTCAATTTTTAAACCATCAAATATAATATGATGAAAAACATCATCGTATTGTATAGACTGGTTCTTGTACGGTTCCTATAACCCCCGCCTCAAGATATACTACATATTTTGAACAAAGAAAGTCGTATCCCTTTTTTTCTGGTGGTCTATAGATCCCGTATTCTTACCTTGACAAACGACTGCGAGTGCTTCTCGTAACCGCGGAACACTTGGCTGTGGGACTTTCCGCGATAGTCCACCGACTCGTAGTGCCCGTCCTGGGAATTCTCGATGATGAAGTGCCGTGTACCATGAGGCGTTAGGGTGGCCCACAAGAGACGGCTATCGTTGACCAGCTGACTCTGGAGGAGATCCCGGCTGTTGGCCGTGGCGCAGGGATACAGTATTCCGCCAGATGTGAAGGCATTCGATTTGGTGGCCTCGCCAAGGGCATTGATGGCCGTCTGCTTGATATTGGCGTCATGGTACGAGAAGAAGGAACTGATGGGACACAAAGGAAATACCAGGATTAAAGAGGAATAAGACCTAAAAACAGATGACCTTACTCTCTACATCTAATGACGATGAGGGCCAGGAAGCAGCCGAACACAAAGATCCCAATGCAGGACGAGACAAACAGCCAGACGTTCTCCAGACTCTTGGAATCGCTCCTCACCAGCTCCATCAGGGCATTGCCGCTCTCGTTGTGCTGCATCCCATGGCCACACATGAAGGCGGCGAAGCACGGCTGGGACTCATTGGAGGGCACCAGGATGTCCACCGTCGCCGGTTTGGAGATCAGGAAGGACGGCAGCGGTGGCGGCGGCATCGATAGGATAAAATCCGGTGGCGGACCGGCCAACTGGTCACAGCTGCCCACACAATTTCCAAGTATTATGTTCATGATAAAGCTGAAAGGATCCAAAGAATCAATGGCGAATGCCCATGTACCCACTCCTTATCTCGGATATTCATGTGTATCTGTTCCTGTGTTGTGTTTAGATTCATAACACCGTTTTTGGGGGTAGGTTTTCTACTACTACTACTACTACTGCTACTACTACTAACTACGAATTCCCTAATTGCAGCCCAAAACGTGCTTATTTTGTGGCCTATATTGCTAAATAAGACTGCTGTTATGCTAAAATATCTAATATTTTAAAGTTCCTAACTTTCCCCTCTCAAAAGTTTTTCAATACACAAGAACAAACACAACCATCCATAGAAAATTCCATTACATCCCAAAGAAAGTTGGTGTTTTGAGTACCTATACCCTACTTGGGATTTTACTAAATCATAACACTAGGGAATCTTTTGCAGTCCATTAACAGGCAATTATTTTGATGTAATTAATATTAAAAACAGTTTCGAACCTTTCAACACAATGCCTTGACTTGTGTCAAGGAAATCCCAGTCAGAACTGAGTGGTAGTAACTATCCCAAATACAGGGCTCTCCTCTCCATCCGAAGTGCGCGCGCAGGTCCCCCCGAAATGGGTAAAATCGGTAGCTTTAGCAATACCTTTAAGTCCGTAGCCAGTTACCCCCGTGCCTTTGGACACACCCAGGTATGATTATGATACACATGCATAGGTATATGTTTTCAAAACACTGCTTATAAAATTGTTTATATAAGCAAATCAAGTTGATTAACTTTTAAAGGATTTAATGTCCTTTTCGCATGTTTTGAAAAAAATGATCTAAAGGACTTTTCAAAAATATTCCAGTTCAACCCAATAAAAATAAAGTGTTTACCTAATTCATATATATTATATACTTCTCGAGATAATTTCAATATATTTTGTTTAGCAATGAAGCCAAAAATTCAAAAGCGACTTATTTCAAAAGGACTTTTTCAAATATTTGAGGTTTTCAGGGCTTTTTTTTTGGTTCGGATCTAGGATGTAGGAGGTAAAGCACTCAAAAACTTTAGCTTTGTTATTTTTAAACCTTCGTCCCCTTTTTCTAAATGTTTAGTATATTCGCAAACACTAAGAGACAAAACATGGTACTATTTCCTTTTTTGTAAACAATACATATTTTTTGTTAAAGTTTATGTAAAGGGAACTAAATCATTTGATTTATGTAATTTATTAAGACCTATTTATGATCACAGCCCACATATCATATCATATCAAGAGTCGAAACATTACATAGGTAGGATTTATAGGTACATATCTTTTAGATACTCGCTATATAAAAGAAAACATATATTTAAATATTTATACAAGTTAATAGCCGTAGGTGGTAGCTTTTGTAACAATGTGCTAAAAAAAAACAAAACCGAATCAAAATTCAGCCTATATATTATGGGTCATAAGATTATTTAGCTATAGTTATTTTTTGTCAGTGTAAGTCATGACGACGCCGGCAACCAGGGCCAAAACGGTAAATCCCTGAGCGGCGATACGAGTGCGCATCATGATCTGCGACATCTTGCGGTTGCCAGTGCGAAAGTTGTATAATCCGGCTGTGAGCGCTGCTGTGGTGGCCAAACATCCTGAAAATAAACAATTGCACAAAATAATGTTTTGTTTACATAACCCAGACCGCTTGAATGAGCGGCGCAGCGCGGCAAAAGAAAACTCACCCAATGGCACCAGCGGGTTCTCCTTTATCTTGCGCTGCAGCTTCTCCTTCGTCGTTTCCACCTCGGCAATGGGTCCCAGATCCTGGCGCAATTGGATCCAATCCAGCTCCTCCTCCGGCAGCGAGACTTGAATTTTGTTCGACATATCGCGGATATTTCAATTAAATATTGACAAAACAGTAGCTGCAACAGTCGAATTATATTATTGAATTAGAGATGGACACCGTGACACAAACAGAAATGAGGGCGTTCACACATGCAACCGATAGTTTTACTCACGACGTAAATCTTGTCACCCTACAAATCACGAGTAACAGTTCGAAAACTATAGTTTACAGCCGAATTAATTAAAAGCGGTTTTAGTTCAAGTAAAAAAATAAATTCCTTGGCATTATGATTAGACAACAGCCAACCTACACATGCAAAAGAAATTGCGTTTTGACACAACAAAACAAAAAAATTTAGTTCTAGTGTAAACAGGACTTAACACAAACTGCAACCAACGGCTTGGAACCATTTTATTTTAAAAACAATTTAATTTTAAGAAATATAATATGTACTAAAGTATTATTTGTTTTTAAAATGATATGCGACGTTTTGAATTTCTTTTTAAAAATAGTAACCCTTTTTTATTTTAAAATGTTATGATTTTGTTATTTAATATGTTTAACAAAATAATACCAGACATTTTTTTTATATCCACAATGTCAATAACAAAAATGTTATATAATTATAAATTAAGGCAATAAAAATAATATTATATTTTTTATGATTTCAAAATTGATGTTTACTGTTGGAAAAAAGTAAGGTGAATTTTTAATTCAAACTTCGCGGGCCTAACATTTCAGGGTAGTTCTTTTTCTTGAGATGACAGAACTGTTAATGACATACGTATAGGCCAAATTGATTCAGAAAAATAAATAAAAATTTTTTATTTTACAAAAAAAAATTAACCAAACTTTTTGCCCACAGTAGAATAGTAAAATGGTTTTGAATAAAAATTCCATGATTTTATCTACAAATATGTTTAACAATATAAACATCCTTAGCAAAAAAGAAAAACAATTTTTAATTTTAACAATACAAATAATATAACAAAATATGTTTGATATTTGCAATAATTTTGTTTTGAATTAGGAAATAATCATGGAAAATGTTTTAAAAATGGCCAAAAACCACTTCCATTTTACGGAAACGGGAACATGGCTGGTATTTTTAGCGGCTGACTAAAAAAAATATTAAACTTGAGATGTAAAAAATTCTCACGCCCAGAAACAAATGTAATGCTTAAGCCAATTAACAATTTGCGAAACAATAAAAAACCTTTTTTAATGACCAATATAATTGACAAAATTTGTTTTTTGGGTTTTTCTGACCTCACCAATACGCTCACACACACATGGCATGGCTGCATTTTTTTTTCTCAAACATGCCTCTCTTTCTCGAAACGAGAGCGAGCGAAAAAGAGAGGAAAGTACAGTCAGACGGTATAAAATGAAAATGTGTATGTAGCGGGTAGCTGCGATGTGTATGTGCCGTGTGTTTGCGTTCTATACGTATATGCCTGGTTATGTATCGATGTGTTTGCATTGATGCATATCGTTTTTGTAGAATTCGTATGGTACATACGTACAGGCCTATGTACATGCTGATGAATGTGGCATGCTGTTATAAATAAAATATGTTTAAAATACATTTCTGGCCCCAGCTGTAAGTTATGTACATATGTATCTATGTAGTTCGAAAAAACCATTTGCACGTACGTACGTAAGTATGTACATGTGCATACATACAGTTTTGTATTTTTCCCACACTCCATGGAGTGAGTATGTACGCAGGGCCCAGGCAGAGCGCACAGCGTTTATGTACATACCCGTGTGTACGTATGTATGTACGAAAGTAACAAGCCAAAAACATTTTATAAGGCCTTTTCCCTCCACCACGTGTATGTACATATGTATGTAACGGCAGCAAACGGCTGAAAACGGCTCTCCCTCGCTCTCTTGCCGCACACACACAGGCTGCTCTCACCATTGCGCATACAGTTCAACGCATACACATTTATTCGCTCATTTAGATTTGGAAGCAGAAGCACAGTAAGCAGAGACGGCAATTCAATTCATTTTCATTCGTTGTTGGTACTCTCTGTGTGTGTTTTCAATAAAGCGAGCGGCGCGCGAACCGAGCCATAAGCCAAAACCATACCATACCATATACCATACCACACCATATATTCTGATATTCTGATATTCTGTATTTTCCGCATCGCATTCGCATTGATACGATACGATACCAATTACTCTGTATAGTGTATAGTGTATAGTAGTGTATATACCAACAAAAAAAAAAAGAACACACAAGCGATACAAGCGTATGTGCAAGTGCTGTTTGTTTATTTTTTACAAGCTAAAAACAAACGACAAAACAAATCAGCCCAAGCCGCGAGCGTTTCGCGCTAAACAATACAAAGAAAAAATAAATAATAAAAGGAAGAAATAAAACCAAAACCAAAAACGTGTGTGAACAGTGTGAATTTGGAGATTTTCGAATTTTTAAATTCGAATTTTTTTTGGCTTGTAGCGTACCTCGAAGCGTACATACATACATACATACACTCGTAGCCGTGCATACATACGTGCAATAATCAATACAATACGACGTACAACAAACTGCGTAGAACAGTATTAAAACTAAAGAAAAAAAAAAGACAAAAACTGGCTTAAGACTTGCGTTCGTGTGCGTTTTACATACACACACACACACAATATACATACATATTTGTGCAAGAAAGAAAGTTACTAATTAGGACTAAAAGTGAAGGAAATCGAAGGGAGGACTAACTATAAAGCCTATCCACCAGTAAAACAATCGGACTCGATCCGATATTCACAGTTATGGAACACTTTCATCAAATACAGGTAAGCAGGTATACGGCGTTTTATTTAAAACGCACAAACACACACACACATACATATATGTATCACAAACACGCATACATATATATACAGTCGCGTTTATGTGTATAGGTTGCCGCGTTTTCGCTTAACTAAAACATTTTCCCGCCAAACCACTAAATATAGTTAATAAAACTATATAAACTGTAAAAACTAGGATATTTTGGCACCTGATTGTGGTTTGTGCCCACACAGAGACATACAAACATATGTACATGCTTGAATTTTGGTGCATGTTCATTGTGCATACATACGTACATACATAGCGTCTAGCTTTTGTTTTTAATTAATTAGTTAGCCTAGTATGTTTGTGTGTAAATGCATTAGGAGCACGCCTATGTGTACATATGTGCATACCAGTATGCATACAAACAAAAAACGACGCCGTACAATCAAAATTGTATTTTGCGTGCGCATCCAAGTCCGCCATTTTTCTTATTAGTTTGTATAAATATACAAATGTATTTATACCGTTTGTAAGAATTGTAAGTGCTTCTGTGTAAATGTTGTTGCATTTTTGTGTGTTGTTTTTTTTCATGTTTAAATATGTACATATGTATGTACATACATATGTAGAATGTACGTTGCCAAATGTTGGCGTAATGCGATGTACGCACGTTTGTTTGTATATATGCAAAAAATGTATACGACGTGCATACATACGTACAATCTATGTGAAAACCTGAATATGAAGACCAAAATCACAGCTTGCGTAATCCGAAATTGGCTATATTTTCCACCCATGTGTGCATAAATCCATATTAATACGTATGTACGTGCAAATATTTGGCCATGCTTGTATCAGCCAGCATATGTATGTATTTGTTTTTACCTATGTATGTACATATGCCCCTACATAAAATTGTAACATACATATAATATAGGGTTTTTTTTTGTATTGCCAGAAATATTTGAAATTGGCAAGGAAAACGGCTATTTTCAGCTTAAAAACTGTATGCTTTCGGTTCATTCATGAGGCCCTGGTTCTGCGCTTTAGGCCCTGGAATCGGAATCAAAACGAAGATAATCCGATCCGATTCACAAAAAAGGGAACCGGTTCTTCTCTTTCCCACCAACATGTACATACTTCCATTGCATTTTCATGCCCGATTCATGTAAAAGCTTTTTATCACCGGCGACATCAGCTGGTTGGATACTTAATTGTAACTTGTAAACAAATCAAGTAACAACCTTGATAATGAAATACCCCCCGTCAATTGGGAAAACACCACTCCATTCGCTTTTCTTTCGAAAGCATTCAGGTGTAAATTTGTCAAAAATTTATCGGTATTTGTACAATGTACAATGTATAACGATTATCTACATGTTTACTTACATGAAAAATGAATGAAAAGGATAACGCCCTCATTCAAACTAACCTTAAAAGCTTATTATAAATGTTTCGCAGTAGGGTAACTATGATATTTTGGGGTTTATAAAGGGTTTCGGTATTTGTATTTAGGTAAGCAAACCTAACTTCTTAAAAATATTAAAATATTTTTTTTTTTTGTTTAATGAGTAGATAAATTTTCCAATTTTACCTATGAATGATTAGGTATCTTATTTGAAACTTTTGAGCCATCTAAATTTATAGGGATACAGGCAAATAAGATGGTTTATTATTGATTTTCTTGTTTAGAAAAGAGTTCTTAAACCCTTTAGATAAAGTGAATACATTTTTATTTGTTTCTATAGCTTGGGAAAGCGGTTTATTGGTGTTCAAAATAAAAGAATAGGTAGTTTTGGACTGTCTCTGGTTTAAAAAAGCGATTATTAAGAGGTCGAACGTAAAGGTTTCTCCGTTGTTGTTTGTTTCCAATGGTAAACTCAAAGTTTTACACATTTCAGTCGACTTATAGTACTACATATTCCCAGAAACATCCACTTTGCCTATTGTGTTGATCCTGCCCTTGCTTTTGATATATTTACAAACACTATACTCGCTGATCCACACAACTCACAACCATCAATGCTCACTAATTGCTAATCTTAAGGACCAACTTAGTGGCTAGTGCGATGCCAGACTGAAATGATTGTAGCTTAAGCACAAAAACCGACTGGCACCGCACTAACAATGCACTAATAATGAAACACCATCAACCAACTATTGATCAGCAAACAATTCAACACTATCAGCAGCAACTGGCTGCTCAGCAACAACAACAAGTACAACAGCAACAGTTGCAACAGCACCAGGTGGTGGTGCAGCAGAATCAACAGCAGGCGCACCAGAATAGCTCCAATACCACAGCCGGCGTGGGCACCCAACAGCTGTTCACATACAAAATGGCCAGCAGTTTTCCCAATCCGGCCACAACGATGGCTCAGGTGGTGGCCACCTCGAATGCAGCCGGCACCACAGGCTATGACTATCGTCTAAATATGGCACAGGCAGCCGCAGCAGCCGCCGTACCGGGCTCCCAATGGTGGTACTCGGCCGCCAATCAGGGCCAGGTCGATGCCAATACGGCGGCGCAACTGCAGCACCAGCAGCAGCAACAGCAGCAGCAGCAACAACAGCAGCAGCAACAGCACCAGCAGCAACAACAGATGCAACAGCAGCAGCAGCAACAGAATGTCATCAACTCGGTGGCGGTAAGTAGCGGGGATCTCAAGAATTCGCGCTGGATAAAGGGTTCTAACTCTTTCGATATTTCTAACTTACAGAGCCCCATGATCAGAGGCAAGGCAGATGCCAAGCCCAGAGGCCGAATGACCGCCTACGCCTACTTTGTACAAACTTGCCGAGAGGAGCACAAAAAGAAGCATCCCGATGAGACGGTTATATTTGCCGAGTTCTCACGAAAGTGTGCCGAAAGGTGGAAGGTAAGTACTTCTAACGACAGCCCAAATCTGAATAGCTTTGTTATAAAACGTACTCCCATTTTCCTAGACAATGGTTGACAAGGAGAAGAAGCGTTTCCACGAGATGGCCGAGAAGGACAAGCAGCGATATGAGGCCGAGATGCAAAACTATGTGCCGCCCAAGGGAGCGGTGGTGGGCCGTGGCAAGAAGAGGAAACAAATCAAGGATCCCAATGCTCCAAAACGTTCATTGTGAGTTCGTAGATCAAAAACAATTATCCTAACATTTAAACTTACTAACTGCCAAAATGAGAAAATTAATGGATTGCAATAATAAATGATAATCTTTTGTTTTTAACATAGGTCTGCGTTCTTCTGGTTCTGCAATGATGAGAGAAATAAGGTGAAGGCACTCAATCCCGAGTTTGGAGTGGGCGACATTGCCAAGGAGCTGGGTAGAAAGTGGTCCGATGTGGATCCCGAGGTCAAGCAGAAGTACGAGTCGATGGCAGAGCGAGACAAGGCTCGATATGAACGCGTAGGTTTTGGCATTTTACTTTTTAAGAGACCTTTGCTTATATAGATATTGTATTTGTGATTACAGGAGATGACCGAGTACAAGACGAGCGGGAAAATAGCCATGTCCGCACCGTCGATGCAGGCGTCGATGCAGGCGCAGGCACAGAAAGCCGCGTTACTTGCCGCCGCTGCCCAGCAGCAACACCAGCAGCTGGAAGAGCAGCACGACGACGACGATGGGGATGGAGATGATGACGAGAACCAATAGGTTTAGCAGTAAATACTCTTCACTATTTATACACACGCTCGTTGTCACGATGGAGATGCAGAACGATGAACATGATAACGTTGGTCGATCTATTCTCAGGTTGGCCAATGTGTGTTGAATATATATTTATATATATAAGGGTGTTCCTTTTTAGAGGTTCCGTTTACCGGTAACATAAACCAATTGTCACCATTTAATTCAGATTAAAAAATAGACTAACAATATGGGCGAAAAAGGTTCTAATTTTTAAGGATGTGCTTGGATCTCTTGTGAATCTCGTATGGAAAATGAGTGGTCTTGGTCTATTTCAAAAGGATTTTTCACTCCCAAAGTCCAGCTAAAAATCCAACTAGCACAGACATCTCTTGAACATTCAAAAGAGGGGTTTTTTTGAAGAAGAAGTAGGCTATAAAAACATTGTTCCTAGTGTATTTCGAAGCAACACGAAATCTCAGGAGATTCTGTGAAACTTGTGCGATTTCTTCAAGCGATTTGCTGCAAACCAACCGAGGGCAAAATCTCTACAGATTTCTGTGATTGAAAAACCAAAGCACAAATTGTTTACTTTTTATTTTTTTTTGGTATTTTTGTGAGAATTTGATTGTTATCGGGAAATGGAACCTCTAAAAAACACCTATTATATATATGTAAATGCATATATATAAATAATATATAATTTTTTTTTTTAACATAAGTAATCAAATTTCCATGAATTATGAAGATAAATCACAAAGAAACCTTTTATAAGTTCTATGTTAAGATGAATACGATTAAGTATGGTTAGATTAAAATGACACTCATCTGTCTGCGAACCTTATTTGTGCTTCAGTGCTAAGTTTCTCCTAAACGTAATAAGAAGAATTATTTTATAAATTGAAGAAATTCATCATGATGTCATTCGTTCTCAGCAACTATGAAGGTTACCACTACATTTATAAATATTGGTACATATTTCCCATTTATTAAAGTTAGATTCACCATAATGAAACTACAATTAATGCGTTCGAGTTTATATGTCCCCAACAAGAAAAGAAAACAAACTCAATCAAACGTGATAATGTGAAATACTTAACTCAGTGGCGGGTGATATCTCGATCTATCTATTTTTTGCCTCTCTAAACCATACGAATATATAAATATTTAAAAGCAAAAAAAAACAGGAAGAAACACATTTCAGTTCATTTCATATTCTAATAACTTTCATTTAGCAGTTCAGTTTTACGATTCTTGAGTTAGGATCCTTGGAGAGATTTGGGTTTGTGTTCATTTGTAAATATATGCATCAATTATAATAGCCACGATCATAAGATTCAGCGTTTTGAGGCAGGGAGCAACCAAAACGATATCTCGGACATTGCAACAATTGTTGACTTGGCCATGTACATACTATTTGAAGTATTATTTAGATGAGACTACGTAGAAATTAACGAGAATCGAGAGCAAATAAAAAGAAAAATACAACCCTAATATTAGAGTAGATTTCAGCGGGACTGCAAAGTAATGTAAATTGCGTAGTAAGTTTGAGGGGGCGAAGTGAAAACTAGTTTTTACGTCGATCCTAAAGACCCAATGAATGTTCCAGGCACAGAAAGTGTTTATGCAGATGTAAAGGGAGACGATCCTCCGGCTTTTGTCATTCGCATCGGTTGGAAGCCCGTTTCTCTTTATATGGCATGTATAAGCTAAGTAGTGGTTAGATTATAACGTGATAAGAGAGGAGCTGAAACTATAGCGAAGGACGCGTCGATGGTCAGTTAACCAGGACGTCTCTATCTACAATATAGTATACCCCTAACTTCGCTCTCCCCACGTTATGAGTGCGACATATTGTATATGTATGTATTTATATATATATATATTTTTAGCATCATTTTGATAGAGAATAACTCGCCACCGAGATTATATTCATAGAGATGTGTTTAGGTTAAACCTTTAAATCCTAATTTTCCACAAATTGACGGTAATCATCATCGCCACACACATAATAAATTACTATGAAAAATTCCAGTTCCCTGTGCGCTTTGTTATAAGAACTAAACTATTATAAAATAAACTTTTAGAAATGAGACTCTTTTTTTTCCGATGGAATGATGTGTTCTTCAAATCCATTTGTCTTTATTATTATTATTATTTTTGAGTTCTGGCTCCTTGGTACATGCATACACACAACATATTAGATGACGAACTTTTGTGTTAATAAAATAAAACTCCCTATAAAACAGCTTTAGCTTTTATATTTCATAGACACAACACTCGGTAGGAACCGCGCCCGAGTTCCTATACCTAAAATGTGTGAATTACTCTAGCAATACTATATAGTAGCCTCTAAGTATTTGTTTTTTTTCCTAAGAATTTACATGATACTGTAAAAATAGTTTGAAATAAATTTAATTTAGCTAGATGTACGCTTGTAAAGGCAAATCGGAGAACATTTGTTTTGCGTATGTAGTGCCAAAGGGTTTTTGTGGGGAATTAATCAAGTATTTTAGAAATCAGATGAGCTGAATGATAGGTTTTTCGATCGACAGTGTGTTTCTTGTAAACACTGTTTTCTTCAGACTAGGTATACATAGATCAGCATTTGCCTCCGGTCAGAATATGGGGAATTAAAAAAAATAGTGCCATTATTCTAAAATGTTAAAACCCACATTTAAGTTTTAACAGGAAGTAATCCCTTGATTTCATCTTACGTCGGGCGCTCTTAGTTCTGGGGAACCATTGTATAGCCTTTGCTAATCCGATAACAATCAACATTTGCCTAAGCTTTATTCAGATGTTTTCTTTTAATTTGTAAAAATTCTTAAAATATAAAAGCAAAACAATAACTTCGTTTCGTTTCAAGATCCAGCAATCAATTTCAGGGGCAGGAATCATAAAGATCTTGTTGAATTCAATTATATTTAATATTACAAGGTAAGTTAAGTGATTTTGACATATTTAGTCTGGTTTGTATGCCTTTTTTTTATATTTTTAATATTCACAAACCTATTACTTGAAATCCATCAAGACCCATTTCCATTTAAATCCAAATCAGAAAAGAAAAAGTTAACATATCTTTCGAGTGTGACCGGCTTTTAAAAGTTCAATTCCATACATACTTGAACTTTTGAACTACGCTTTTGAATTTCACTTAAATTACACTAAATTGATTACCAAAAATACACTATAGTAAAACGGATTTGGCATACACAACTAGTTAAATGGTTTTACATTCTGGAGTTGATTTGATAAAATTTTAAGATCTTGAAGTCTTAAAGTCTTTTAATGACATTTATCTAAAAGCAATGGGAACTCAAAAAATCCAACCAAAAGTTTACATTGGGAACAATTCGAAATCTATAGTTATACATTTCCTGAACGCTCTATAAAATATAAATTTATGTAAAACAGCTGTCGAACAGCTGGCCCAAATTAAAAAAAACGGCGCAGTGGGAATACCCTATCCCATTTGTCTTCGCTTTTAGTATTTTTCTGTGCAATTGCAGCTGGCAACACTGGCAGTTCCCCCAGCAGCTGGCTTATCTTATCTGCTTTTGTGGTATTTTTTGGGTACTTTTTATAAATATTGCATTGTTAAAGTGGGTTTTACGGTCCACTTCCCGTGATTTGTGCATCAACCCAGTGGCAGATAGTGGGCAGTTGACCTGCGTCTAGTTGTTCTACACGCTGGAGTCCACAGTTTGCATGCATTGCGTTTAGTTTGTGGCGATTGGTTGGCGAGGCGAGGCGAGGAACAACCTGTGGCAGCCAGCAGGAAAGGACAGGAAACAACAGGAGAGGACACGATTGAGCGGGATTCAACAGGAGGAGGAGCAGGAGCAGGATGAGCTGCTTCAGTGCGATGAGTGCCCCGCTGCTGGGCGAGATGGAGCAGACCATCGGGATGCTGGAGCGTGGAACTATAGTGACCAAGTTGTATGGGAAACAGCGTCGTCCGGATCGCCGACACCTGATGCTCATCCGCGAGACCCGCCAGCTGATCTGGGCCACGGTGGCCACCCAGACGCCGAGGACGGACTACGAGGGAGCCATCCAGCTGCGCGAGATTCGTGAGATCCGGGTGGGCAAGCACTCCAAGGAGTTCCGGCTATTTGCCGACGATTGTCAGCGCTTTGAGTCCAGCAAATGCTTTGTCATCCTGCACGGCAGTCAGTTCAAGCTGAAGAGCTTCTCGGTGGTGGCTCTGTCGGAGATCGAGGCCGAGAATTGGGTGAGGGGATTGCATTACATGGTCAAGGATACACTGGGAGCACCATATCCCCTCCAAATAGACCGCTGGCTGCGGCGGGAGTACTACCAAATCGAGAATGTCAACTCGCATTCGGCCAAGGCCACCGAACAGTCGCCGGCCCAGGTGACCATCAAGGACTTCAAGCTCTTCCTGGCCAGCGTTAGTTGCAAGATGACCACCGGCAAGTTCATGGAGCACTTCAACGAGGATGTGCGGCGCAAGCATGACCTCAAGTTCGACGACTTCTCGCGGCTCTATCAGAAGCTTCTGCTGCCCACCGGCTTCGCGAGCAATCTAACCGGAGCGGGATTGGGTGTGGCCAACTTTCCCTATTCGGAGGACCAGCAGGTGGTGCGTCCGGCGGAGCTGAAGCGTTTCCTAGAGACGGAACAGCGCGATGTGAGCTCCAGTGAGATCAGTAATGCCGCCATTGCCACTTTCATTCGGGACTTTGTACAGGATGTGGAGCGGGATTGCCAGGAGCCGTATCTGACCTTCGCGGAGTTCGTGGACTTTCTGTTCTCCAAGCAGAACGACCTGTGGAACAGCAAATACGATTCGGTGTTCATGGACATGAACCTGCCGCTGTCCTCGTACTGGATCGCCTCGTCGCACAACACCTACCTGACTGGCGATCAGTTCTCCAGCGAATCCTCCTGCGAGGCCTATGCCCGCGCCCTGCGCATGGGCTGTCGCTGCATCGAGCTGGACTGCTGGAATGGGCCGGACAACCTGCCCTACATCTTCCACGGCCATACCATGACCTCCAAGATCAAGTTCATGGACGTGATCAAGACGATCAAGGACCACGCCTTCACCACCTCAGAGTATCCGGTGATCCTGTCCATCGAGCAGAACTGCTCCCTGGAGCAGCAGCGCAACATGGCGCAGGCCTTGATCGAGGTAAGCTGACCTAATCGGGCCTATAAATAGCTATAATTTCATTATTGCATACCTACTGGGGTTCTGCATGAATGCAATTCGAATCATTCATTCGGAAAATGAGTGCATTTTTGGTACTTGGTATGGCTTGGCTTGAATGCCAAAACTCTTACATGCACAATGTAGCTGCTGAATTGAACATCTGCTAAAATAGTTCGATAAAAAAAACAAGACGGAGCAATATGCTATATTACATAGACCTAAAGAACTCGCGGCATGTATATTTGGATCTGAAGAATTCGCGATTTATATTTTTTAAAGGAAGATAAGACTTTAGAATGACATTGATGATTTCCTATTTACGTGATAATTTCCTAATACATACACTTAAATATAAACTAAAGAACCATTGACTTACATTTTTTTTACCTCCTTTCAGGTCTTCGGGGACATGCTACTCTCACAACCCTGCGACCGAAACGAGCAGCACCTGCCGTCACCATACCAGCTGCGCCGCAAGATAATCCTCAAGCACAAGAAATTGCCGCAGTTTGATGATATCACCAATGGCATTTCTGGCACCGGATCGCTGGGCCATAGATCCTCATTGAGTGGAGCGGGCGGTGGAGTACATGGGGAGACCGATGGCGAGAATGTGCGTAAGGTGTTCAAGGAGGGACTGCTGTACTTCAAGGATCCGGTTGATAAGTCCTGGAACCTATATCAGTTCGTCCTTACCCATCAGGAGCTCATCTACTCCTCGGAGATCAACGAGTCGCGCAATGGAAATTCCGAGGACGATGACTTTGGACTGTCCTCGTCTTGTTCCCTGAACAGCAATATGCAGCAAAAGCAGAAGGATACATCGGCCAATGATGAGCTGCACTTTGGCGAGAATTGGTTCCATGGGAAACTGGAAGGTATAAACGTTTAGTCATTAATAACTTTAATTTAACCTTCTAAAACTTCATATTTATGTATTTTTCAGGTGGCAGAAAGGAAGCAGATGATCTACTAAAGCAGTATAAACATTTTGGCGACGGAACCTTTTTGGTACGCGAATCGGCCACCTTTGTGGGTGACTATAGTCTATCCTTTTGGCGCCGAAATCGACCGAATCACTGTCGCATAAAACTGAAGCACGAAAATGGTTCAATCAAATACTATTTAGTGGAGAACTTCGTGTTCGATTCCCTGTACTCCCTCATCGTTTACTATCGCAAGAATATGCTGCGTAGCTCGGAGTTTTCGATTATTCTCAAGGAGCCTGTTCCGCAGCCAAAGAAGCACGAGGATCAGGAGTGGTTCCATCCGAACACCACGAAGGAGCAGGCCGAACAGGGTCTATATAGACTGGATATCGGTTCGTTTCTCGTTCGACCGTCGGTGCAGAGCATAAACGCCTTTGTGATTTCGTTCACCATCAATCGGAAGATCAAGCATTGTCGCATTATGCAGGAGGGTCGTCTGTACGGCATTGATACCATGAATTTCGAGTCTCTGGTCTCGCTGATCAACTACTATACGCGAAATCCGCTTTATCGCAATGTCAAGCTCAGCCATCCGGTTTCCCAGGAGCTGCTGCGTCAGGCGCTGGCGGAGAGCGCTCAGGGCGATCACAGCCACGACGACAATGGAGCCTCCAACTACATGGGCTCCAACCTGGAGGAGTATGTCACCTGCAAGGCCCTCTACAGCTACAAGGCGAACAAGCCGGACGAGCTCTCGTTCCCCAAGCACGCCATCATCACGAACGTGCAGCGGGATAACTCGATGTGGTGGATTGGGGACTATGGTGGCATGATAAAAAAGCATCTGCCGGCGAACTACGTGAAGGTGAGATTGATATCTCTAAGATGAGACTGATTTATATTACAATATTCTATTGTAATTCACCCATTCAGGTCATTGATTCCGCCACGGAGGACTACAACTCGTTGAACGAGGAGGGAACCGATGGACGCACCGACTCCATTGAGATATTTGGGGCTGTGGCTTCGTTGTTCGAATCCAATGAGCCGGGTATTATCTTCAAGCTGCAGATACAAACTCCCACGATGCAGAATCCGTTTGTGATTGGCTTCGACAACCAGGAGACGGCATACGAGTGGATCAAGGCCATTCAGGAGGCGGCCCTCATTGCCAGTCAGCTGGCATCGGAGCGGCGGAAAAAGGAGCGCACCGCCCGCGTGGCCAAGGAGATGTCCGACCTGATTATCTACTTCCGCAGCGTGCCCTTCCGCGAGCACTCGTGGATCTTCCAGGAGATGTCTAGCTTTCCGGAAACCAAGGCGGAGAAGCAATTCTTCCAGCAGAACACTCAGCTATTCCTGTTGTACCATCGCAATCAGATTAGTCGCGTGTATCCAAAGGGTCAACGCCTGGACTCGTCAAACTTTAACCCGATGCCCTTTTGGAATATTGGATCACAGATGATCGCACTGAATTATCAGACCGGCGACAAGGCCATGCAGCTAAATCAGGCCAAGTTCCGGAACAATGGGCAATGTGGCTATATCTTGAAGCCGGCGTTCATGAAATCGGATAACTTCAATCCAAACAATCCGCTGTGCGATGGCTTCGGCGAGGTGAAGGTTAGCATTCGCCTGATAGCCGCACGTCACCTGTTTCGTGGCGGCAAATCGAACAATCCACAGATTGTTGTGGAAATTGTGGGAGCCAGCTACGATACGGGCATCAAGTATCGCACCAAAGTCAACGAGAACGGCTTCAATCCCGTGTGGAATGAATCGTGCGAGTTCAACGTGCGTAATCCTCAATTCGCCATCCTCCGTTTTGAGGTCCAGGACGAGGACATGTTCGCGGAGACGCACTTCATCGCCCAGGCCTGCTATCCGCTGACCTGTGTGCGCCAGGGTTATCGCAGTGTTATCATGCGAAACAAGTTCAGTGAGGAGCTAGAACTGTCGTCACTGCTGATCAACATCAAGATAGTAAATGCCACTTCTCCATAGGCGGAAATCGATTTGCTAAAGCATTGAAAGTGCAAAGAATGATTCCAAATCTGCATGTACGTGTGGGTCGAGTGTTTAGGAAAGAAAACAAGTGTTGCCCCGAAAGAAAGCTAAGCTTTTCGCAAAAGCAATTTGTTAAACACTGTACATACATGCACTGTTCCATCAAAGTATGACCTCATCCCTTGACTCATATACTAGTTTTAAAAGGGAGATTCCAAAAACTTCTTGATTTGGATTTATACTAGTAGTATTCCTATAAAAATCACAAATCATAAAAGTGGGAACTCCTAGAACTAAAATCATATTAATTTTTACTTTTTCATTATGTTGGTGTGTTCTACTGAATCGTCTTATCAAGTGTCCTCTATATGTCTAATTTTGATTTTAAAATTACTGTTGTTTACTACTATTTTTTATGCAAAACAAATTTTGTACTAATTTATTAATTCACTAACAGTTTATCATAACTATCAGAACTGAATATTATTGTTGAGATAACATGCGATTATTACTATACTATATCGTATAAAAATGAACAAATCAGTAGTAAACTTCGAAACTGATTTTAATAATATTAATCATAGCATATACATGTCTTCCTGTCCTCATTTTCAAAAGTTTCACATGATTTTCACCTTAAAAATATTACAAACTTAAAAAAGGGTATTTCACCCTTCCCAAATGCGAAATATCCTCAAAATAACACCTTTTCTGCCCTTTTTCCTAGCACAAATACTCAAAAAGCATTTCAAAAATGCATGGGAAGATCAAATCATCTTCAAAATGGGTCATCATATTACAAAAAGTTAAAAAGAAGCAATAAACCAGAAATAAGAATAATTATTTGAAGTCAAAAATCTATATTACAAGTGCCTTTAGACTCAACATAATCTAAAAATATAACTGAATTTATTTGTAAAGCTTATTTTATGAGTAGTAAGTCAATTTTAAGAAATATTTAAACGTTGTTTATTAACTCAGACTTGTGAACGCATGTTTTAAGCTCGTGTTTGAACATTTTTATCCAGCATATTCAACAAATAATGAAAATATAACCCAGGGATCCTCGTGAAAATGACTTGACTTTTCTCAAAAGCAATCAAATCACATTCTTTGACGATTTTCGAATTTCCATGTGATTAAATGGTATAGTAAAAATGTCTTGACTCTCCTTATCTGCAATATCTACAAATTCTAAACTAACCTAATAAACGTCATTCTTTTAAATGCATTTTTTACACTAAAAATATTAAAGATCGCCAAGATGCACTAGTCGATTTAAGAAGTGCAAAATTAATCATCTAGAACTTAAATGGGTATCGACAGATTAACAATCTGAAAATCGTTACAACCCTATACATATCATTTGTCATGCATTTGCTTTTAACTACATATACAAATAACATTCTGCAGCTCCCATTCTAAAAAACGTGCAAATAATAGTACTTTATGCACAATAGATCTGAATTGGAAATTTTCGCTTTTGAAAATAAGCCAATAGTTTTTAGTATATGTACCCAAAATGTATTTAAGCTGTACGTTCCGTTTTTAAGTGTATCTGTATATCTAATAGACTTTTTCAATTACTTTGTAAATGCCTTATATGCATACGTTATTTAATGCCAAATAAATATTTACCGGCGTTAGCTGTCTATATATTATAAAGTGTTTTAAATTTTTGGGGCTATCAAAATAAATACGTAAGTTTTTTAATGAAATATTAAAGATGAGGAAACATCGGTCCATTTTTAAAATTTTTACCCAGCTCAGACTGAAAATGGTGATAGATTTCGCTACCCCTATGATTTTCGTACAGTTACCAACAGCCATTTATTATGGTTTTTTCCCCGAGATGACTATCTCTTTCTAATTGATGGTTACTTTCGTAGTCAAATCGTTACTTTTATTGTGTGATATTTATTGGACAATCGGTGAATGTGAGAAATATGAATTACTTGTATTTAGAATTCGCGTCTATGGTATTTGTCAGGATCGAAATATGATGTAACTACAACGCGATCGCTGAATTTCCTTCCAGTGAGGGCCTGCTGTGCCTTCTGACAGTCGAGAACAGAGTTGAATTCGACAAAGACCTTGCCGCAACCCGGAACTTCCACGCCCTCGATGGGGCGGGGTATTTCCACGCTCCGCACGACGCCATACTTCGTGCACTCCTCCTTGATGTCTTCCAGTATGTCCTCGTACTCCTCCTCGTCCCGCAGCTCATCCGGCGTGACCATGTTGAGCAAGCAGAGCACCTCGGTGGGCGGACCGGAGGTGACCACATTCGACAGACCCGGCACTTGCAGCATCACGGACTGCGTGGTATTGGCGGCGTTCTGGGCATTCTTGGCGCCCACGCTGGCTCGCTGGACAATCAGTTTCTTGTCGCCCAACTGCATTCCATTCAAGCCGGCAATTGACTGTGGATTGGAGAAGAAAATAAAATGGGGAAATGATTATTATAATAGAAAACCAACTATTAATGTCGGAAATATCGAAATACTAGTATTAGGAACATTTATTCCTTAGATCATATTCCTTACCTGATCGGTGATGCTTAGATCCACGTATTCACAGAAGGCGTACCCTTTGCTCAGACCAGTAGCAGCGTCCTTAACGAGGTTAAATGCTCGAAGCTTGCCAAACGACAAAAGCAATTCCTTAACCTGGAATAAAACATATATGTCAATAACAGTACAGAATCTTTGAACCCTTCCAAACCAACCTGATCGTCATTTAGATAGTTTGGCAGACCTCCAATGAAGATTTTGTGTGGCGAATCGGGCACCACTGTCGAAATAACTCCACTGGAAACTAAAGTGATTCGATTAGACTTTGGATTTGGACGATATCTATGTTACAAGTGGACCTACCAACAGCGGGCTTTATGGCCGGCGTATCCGTAATGCCCGGCATGGGTTGGTAATCATGCGGACGCCTAATCTTTAAACTCTGCCCCTTCAAATTGATGCCATCGAATGCCATTGCCTGGGTGGTCTCATCGATGGACCGGAATTCGAGGAAAGCGAAGTTCTTGTCCAAATTGATTTGGCAGGCCAAGACGGGACTGCCGGCCGCCTGGGCGAGGCCAACTAAATGCATCTGTTGGTTGAAGAACTCCATCATTTCCTCCTCGGTGACGCCGAACGGAATGTTGCCGACATAGAGGCGACGCGCCTGACGGGTGATTGTCGAACCGACCACGGGCACCGCCGTTTGCGGCGTATCCGGCACAACGCTGGCCGGGATTTGTCCGGACGCCTGCATGGCTTTGTACTGCATGGGGGTGATGTGCTCGAATCCCGGTGGCGGTACATCCCAATAGAGTGAGGGCTTGCGCCTCGAATTGCGATGATGGCGGCGATCCCTGGAGCGATCGCGATGGCGGTCACGGGACCGGGAACGATGCCGGCGTCTCTCGCGATCTCGTTCACGATCTGCAATGACAAGATGATGTGGTGTTTTAATGCAAATTCGCCATGAGTTCGAAACCCCAAAAAATGCTGCTTACACACTGATGCACGCACATATGTATGTACATCACCATGTAGACACATATGCATTTGTTCTCCAAGCTAACTGAAAGATACAGCACACGGCAAATAACCAAAAATATATCGTTTGCCACTCAAACATTTCATTAAATGCACTTTATTTAATGAAAACAAGACAGAACCGAGTCCATTTTGGTTAAGCATATGTACATGCATATATGTATGTATGCATGGGGTAGTAAAAAAAAAACAACCGGTCAACAACCGAAGATTTTTGTACCCAGAACATCATAAAAAACACAATTTTCAGATAAATCAAAACCAAAAAAAGGTCAGCATGCGTTTCCGCCTTATCAAACATATGCACATACATATCTAATTGCACATTTTCCATATCTTTACTTAATATCATACAGTTTTACATATGTATGTATGTATCCACATACATCTATTTATGCACACTTGGGCATCGAATTCGCTCCATCCAATTACACGCACTTCGTGCAGAACTCACCATCATATCCCATTGTGGTATTCAATTAAAATATATATCCCTTTAAACGAAAACAATTTTTAACTATATAAAATGCCGATGAAAAATGTATCCCACTATTGCGTATATTAATACAAATGTGTCTATGAAACGATATAAAACAGAACACGTGAAAACTGTAGAACAGTGGAATGGAACGAGTCCAGGGTGCTGGGTGTTTATCGAACGGTTGCATTTTCAAATACTCGACCCATCTACATGGTTTTATTTTGTGAGGTGGCGAGAGTTAATAACTTTGATTTAATTTTGTATGTATATTTTATACAATCTCTTTATTTATATAAAAATACTTAAAATAAAAAAGTACATAAAATAACTTGGCATACAATAATATTAATATTCAATTTTTTCGATTACAATTAAAGAAACTGTGACGTCACATGCAATTGTGCACCACCTTCTCAAGCATGCTAGTATTGTTTTGTTTTGCTTGAGTAAAAAAAATACCGGTGTTGTTATTTAAACGATAATATTATGAGCATTAAGGTGTATTTACCATTTAACTATTATTACCTAAAGAAGCCCACGGATTTGTACGGCCAAGTACAAATAAACGAAGACAATGTCGTAGCTTATTACGTTCTGGAAGCCTTAGATTTGGAGTTTCGGGACAAAGCCATAAATCATGATTCCATCAATATGCGTTTCTTGGGTTCTATCCTGAATGTGGACTTCAATGCAGATCAAAATCAGTATCTTAAATTCAATATGCGACTGTGCTTCACATACAATAGCAGCCAAGCTAATATAAGCCTAGTTTACACCGGTATTACGCCAGAATATCTCAAGCACATAAAGCTTATACTCTATGAAAAACCAATGATACGAAATCTGTTTATTGGCGGGGAATCTGTGAGTAACCGATCTATAGAACATGGTGATAACGATAGCAATGATTGCGATTTTATCGAGCTGTCCAGGTTGACACAACCCACTGTTAAGATTCAAAATAACCCAAAGAACCATGCCAAAAAGACTGTCCTATATGTATTAACTCTCATTGCCGACTCTCCAATAACAATATTCAAATATATTGTTGAAAATGTATTTGTCAACAGCATAATGGTTCATACAAGTATCTACAAGCATTTCAAGGAGTGGCAGGCAACATATAATGAGCGGTAATTTATATGATAATAGAAGTTTGCACATAATCGATACTACTTTCTTTATCTTCACAGATCTCGTCCGGCAAATATTGCACTTGACAGAATATTGGGCATAATATTGATGTTAATACTTTTTTCCTTAGCAACACAGCCGGGAGACTTTCTAATACAAATATCCCACGTAAGTGTGCCAGCTAAAGTTGAATTTTATTGAATTTACTAATATTACCATTTTCCTAGTACGTTATTGACGAACTATACAGCCTTTTAAAAGTTTTGGAGGGCAGTCCTATTGGTCTCAAGCTAAATATACATTTGAATAATTTCTTTCTCGACTGCTTCAAATATCATATTGAATTGTGGTCAACATTTTTAGGTAAGTGTTTAATCTTATTGCCAAATATTTATTTTACTGATAGTCTATTGTACTTCTACAGATTTTATAGAACCTTTAGTGCGACAAGTTTTCTTGGCCATTGGAGCATTTGGGTGCTTGGGTCTTACATTCCAGATAGCACTCCTAGTGGATTTAATATCCATAATTGGGTTACATTCTCATTGCTTCTATATTTATACCAAAGTGTAAGTTTGCGCTTAGAGATATTTTAATAATACAAATTTTGATATCAAAAATATTTTAATAGGCTCTACAATGTGGAAAGAAAGGGTCTTTCCGTGCTATGGCAAGTGGTTCGGGGGAACCGGTACAATATTTTGAAGGGTAAGTTTATACTTTTAAGAGATACAATAGCTACATTCGTTTCAACATTTACTTGCAGGTCGTACTGAGTCTCATAATTACATGAATCGCCAATTATATCTTGCAACAATATTTTTCTCCGCCATCCTGTTCTTATTTCCCACTACCCTCGTTTACTATATAGTTTTTGCTGCTGTAAGTTTGATCTTTACTAAAATATGCAACATAATATCAATATTCTAATCCTTAAAGCTTAAGGCGCTTACTTTCGCAACTCTTAGCATATTTGAGTTTGTGCGAAGACAAATTTTGAGTGTACCAATTGAAGGGTGTATGAAACGATTATTAAAGGGATGCAATGATATAGGTACCCCTTAAAATAATATGATCATACATAGTTCAAGTTTATAATGATGTTTCTTTCTGTTTAGATTGTCTTCAAATTAAGGATGTTTCACCCCAAGAAAGGGCTTTTCTACTACATAAAAATCAGAAAATCAGCGTGACCGTGTATAAAATTACAGCTTTATGAATCAACCAAAGACATAATATTAAATTAAAATGACAAAGAAGATGTAAAGATGTAAATATATAACTAATTATTTATTTAAATGTTATTTATAGTTTTCATTTTAAAATAATAAAATTCTCAATGATGTTATACATATATCAAATCGGGTTTTTATACCTCTTGTTTTCAGATATAACGACGATTTGTGATAATCTAATATAGGTAGATATTGGATAACTCTTAAATCTTTTCTGAGTGAGCATGTGGTATTTAATTTAACAAGCAA